TTCTAATACATACATTATATAGTGTAATTGTAGCAACAAAACACAGTCCATCATGTTCAGATGTACAATTGGCCTTGCTTTAACCCAATCCTTGAGTTCACAATATGGAAGCTTTGAATGTGAATAATGAAGACTTTTTTGGTATTTCAGTGACTAACACCTTTTAGACAGGATCCATGGTGATCAATTCATATTGATTTTGCTGACTAAATAATACTTGGGCAAAGTTCCAGTGGCATCTAAAAATAAGCTCTTTCATAGTCCTTATGTGTCTTAAATATCATTATAGTATTTATTTTGTTCAAATCTTTGCAGTCACCTCAAATTTCAAGAATTCATGTGTAAATCATTCTAAGTGATTCAGTAAATTTGTGAACCTACTTCCTAATACCTTGTAAACCTATATTTCACATATCTACTGGGCTGCTTATAATCAATAGCTCTTTCTTCACTACTTCCCAACTTGTTCTAATTTATTTCCTTTGGGAGAGGTAGATTTCAAGAGTTCCGGATTACATGTTTGTTTGTTTTTTTTCATGCGACTTAGAGCTCCTCCTTGTTTATTAGCAGTTCTATTTCTTTCTCTAGCCCCATTTTCTCTTGAAGCAGCCATAAAAGTACCATCTGTTTTTCAGCATCATTTTATTTCTGCTTTCTCCTCCCTGCACTTTTCTCTTCTCTGAATGCTTTATGCGATAACAATTTATTCCTGATTTATTATCCACCTGCTTTCATAGCCTCCCTCTTTCTGTTCCTCCTCCACCCCTATCCCACACTGGATGGAGTGGTATACCATAATTCTTAAGGACATAGCTTTGGAGTCAAGTAAGGGCCAACTCAATCACTTACACATGTTGGGCCTTAGGGACTTGACCACTATGAGCCTCAATTTATTCATTTATAATAAAGAGAAGGTTATAATACCATCTACTACATAGGGTGGCTTGAAGAATTAAATAAAATAATATGCATCAGGGTTTCTCAGCCTTGGCACTATTGACATATGGGGCTGAGTCATTCTTTGTTCTGGAGGCTGTCCTGGGCATTATAGGATGGTTAGCAGCAACCCTGGTCTCTACCACTAGATGCTTATAGCAACCCCCTTCCCAGCTATGACGATGTAAAATGTCTCTAGACATTGCTAAATGTCCCAGGAAGGCAAAATTTTCCCCATTTGGAATCATTGCAAGATACAAAACATTTAGCACAGTGCCTGGTATGCAATAGGCACTTGATCAATAATTGTGAGGGATGGATGGTCGGAAGAATGATTGAATATTCATTTTTAATACAAGTGTCTAATATAATTCTTGACAGTCAATTAACTACTTAATGCATAAATGGATAAACAAATGAACCTGAAGCCAGTGAGCTTCAAGGGCTGTCCATAGTTTCTACCTTATTCTAAAATGTGTTATCTTCACTAAAAACAAGCTTCCTATGTTTCAAAAAATATTTTAGACAATTAACTAACTGCACAACTTAAGCTACTCCCCCAATTTAATATATATGCCTATACTTTAAATAATAGGGAGATTTTAAAATAAACTCTAATGGATGATAGCTATAACAATTATGTTGCAGTAGAATTCCGTGCTAAAAATTGAAGTGATTCTTCGATTAACTTGAGTATTTTAGGCTGATATCCCAGTGAATAAGCCATTGATGTGGTAAGAGATCAAAGCTCAGGCAACTTTTAAGTGTTTTTCAATCTCATTTATCTTATATAAATATTTATTGAGTGCCTGCTATATTTCAGGCACCCGTTCTAGGTACTTAGGATACATTCATGAACAAAAAAATGATCCAACGCTGTGGAACCTCCATTCTATGAAATAGCGGATCACAAAAATAATAAATACGCAAATAGAAATAAAAATAAAGATTACTTATAACTTGTAAAATACTAGCCTAGGAAATATTCTAAGTGGTACTGACAGCAAAATTCCAGTGGATGACTGTAACCCAACCAGAAACATTTTTGTGACTGCACTCACTGTTTGCCATTTGGTTGCTTATCTATGATTTCAGTTTACTGAATTCTAACTTTCTCATCTGATCCGAATTACAATGAGGGTATTAAATCAAATCTGTGGTTACCTTTGCATATTTTGGAACTTCAAACATTTAGATTGTGATTCACCGTGTGCATAACTTTTTAAATTGTCTCAAATCAACAATCTTTCTCTTACTTTTCTAGGTTTTCTCTAATGAACTAACTTTATGGCATACTTTTTGTGCTATAGTCCAATAAACTGATAGCTGAGTTTTTTAAAAAATGAATACAATATATGCTTTTTCTGCCTCACTTTTTTCATATGTAAAATGGGATCTGTGGGGTACTTAACACATAAAGTCATTATAAGGATTAAATAAGGTAATGTTGATTAAAAAAAAAAAAAAACCTTAGAACTAAAGAAAATGCCAAGCACATAGTAAGTTTTAAGTGTAGTATTTTCTGCACTTCTACTAGCCATGTACTTATTTCTAGTATTTCCAATATTTTAACACAGTAAATGAGGCAGTATATCTTTTTCTTTTCTTTCTACAATTGGGAGAAAGCAGAATTACAATGAAATAAAAGCAAAATGTGTATCCAATAGGGCCATATAAGTAATGTCTCTTTGTAAACCACTAGTCTCAGGAGTAAATCCCTCCACATGATGAAAACCAAGAGATGTGTTTGCACATAACTCTTTTTATAAAGTTTTTTTAATTGCAAAGACATAGTCCTTATAAACTTCCAATGTATGGAAATTAATAATTTAGAAAGTGAAAAACCCCTTTATGCATATATTCATTCCAACTCACTACCTTTAGAGATAATTAATAGTAATAATCAGTGTATGGTCTCACTTTTTTTTTTCTTTGAGACGCAGTCTTGCTCTATCGCTAGGCTGGAGTGCAGTGGCATGATCTTGACTCACTACAACCTCCGCCTCCTGGGTTCAAGGGATTCTCATGCCTCAGCCTTCCGAGTAGCTGGGATTATAGGCACATGCCACCACACCCAGCTAATTTTTGTATTTTTAGTAAAGACAGGGTTTCATCATGATGGCCAGGATGGTCTCGATCTCCTGACTTCATGATCCGCCCACCTCGGCCTCCCAAAGTGCTGGGATTACAGGTGTGAGCGACTGCGCCCAGCCTAGTCTCAAATTTTTTTCCTAGTCATACTAATACATGTTTCTATTAAAATAAAATCACATTGTACATACCATTTTGCAACTGACCTTTATTCACTTAAAATATGTCTTTGGTGTCAGTGTCAACACATTTAGTTTCTTCTTGTTTCCAACAGCTGCCAAGAGTGGTTACTCTCTTTGGCTCTCTGGGTACTTACCCACAAAAGCACATGCATTTAGATCTGATGGGAGAAGTCCTTCAGAGCAGGCACCGGTGGCTTACACCTGTAATCTCAACTCTTTGGGAGGCCAAGGCTGGCAGATGATGTGAGCTCAGGAGTTTGAGGCCAGCCTGGGCAACATGGCAAAACCCCATCTCTACAAAAAATACAAAAATTAGCCAGGTGTGTTGGTGCATGCCTGTAGTCCTAGCTCCTTGGGAGACTGAGGTGGGACACAGAGGTTGCAGTGAGCGGAGCTCATTCCACTGCACTCCAGCCTGGGTGACAGAGTGAGACCCTGTCAAAGGATAGGAAGAAGGAAGGAAGCAAAGAGGGAGGGAAGGAAGGCAGGAAGGCAGGAAGGCAGGAAGGCAGGAAGGAAGGAAGGGAGGGAGGGAGGGAGGGAGGGAGGGAAAGAAAGAAAAGAAAAAAGAAAAGAAAAGAAAAGAAAAAGCCCTTCAGCTGAAAGTTGCACTGCCAATTCTCTCTCAAAGCACTGACCCAAAAAGGGGCACCAGCAGAGAGGCTCAGAAGATCTTCTCAGTCCACACCAGGAGACCAGACCTTTCTCAGTGCAGGGAGAAGGATGAGCTGAATGAGGAATACTCACTCATAAGGCAGTTAATCCAGAGGGTGACAGAAACATTACAAATGTGACACCCTTGAAATGGAACTCCTCTTTGGAGTGTGGAAGCCCAGTCATACACAACCCACTTGGAGCAGGAAGGAAATTGTATTTGAGGATGTTAAAGTCAAGCTAAATTTTATTAAAATTGCCTCAGGAGGCCATTCATCGCCACTTCACTTATCCCACTTCAAAGCCTACTTCCCGACACTCAGATATTTACTTGTGGAGTGATTAAGTTCTCTTTTGTCTTTTCTATGCTTTCATTAGATGCTCTTTTTCTCTTTTTTGCTCACAAAAAGGTAGATTTTTTCAGTCAAATGTCAATATGTCAAACACCAAGTATTCATTCCCTTGCAATGCACAGTGTTTATACTTACATACCCTATTATAACAAATGTAATATTATTTAATTATGCAGCAAACTTACACATAATTGGTGAACCAGGTCTAAAGAATATTCTATACAGGAAGCATACAGTATTCAGCTTAGTTGAGGCCTTTGTTAATATGCAAAGTTGCAGGTGCCACATTAGGGAATTTTGGGGAAAAGGAAATGCAAACTTATTTGGCAGGAAAACAAGAGAAATGATTATATCTTATGGCACTTTTATGGCTGGACACATTTAGATGCCTCTGTCACACCACCCAGAAGCCATGGTGTTGGGGGCTGAGGCAGGAGCTCCTTTTGCCACAGGAAAAAGGATGAAACCAGAGACATTGTGAAAGGTTGCCCCAAAGTCTTAAGGTTCCCTGAAACCTTAGGTTTTTTTGAACCCATCGTCCAATCTGTTGAAAGTTAAATAATACGTTGTTCAAAATTGCATAGGTAAAGCACAGAATGGCCAAAGGGTCAGAACTACAGCAACAGGTAGGTCCCATTCTCTGCCTTTTCACTCTGCGGCTGGGGATCAAGATCTGTTTATTTGTGCCTTAAATAGGTCAAAGTGAACTTTTTGAAAATATTGTTTTGGTAAATAAAAATTCCTGGTAGTGCTAATTATGGCTGTTTTGACCTGTTTCTTTCAGATACCATTGTTCTTATCGCTTCAATAGCAGTTGTTTCTGCAAAAACTCAGGGTAATATTTTTGCCACGTCTGCACTCAGAAGTCTCCGTTTCCTACAGATCCTCCGCATGGTGCGCATGGACCGAAGGGGAGGCACTTGGAAATTACTGGGTTCGGTGGTTTATGCTCACAGCAAGGTAAGATTTGCTCTCTGCGTTTAAAAAACAATTTTTGAAACTTTTTCATTGATTGCTGTAATATTTAATAAACCTATCACAAGCAAACTTAGTCATTGCAGAAATTGGTTAAAACAATTTTGGGACATGATGTGCAATGGATTATTTAAGAGCCATCATAAACATCCAAGAAGTAGTAAAGTGAATAGAATCATCATAGAATTATTTTTTCCTTTTTCAAAGATTTCCCACCTCTAAAAATCTTTCATTCCTTTTATACCTAGGAATTAATCACAGCTTGGTACATAGGATTTTTGGTTCTTATTTTTTCATCTTTCCTTGTCTATCTGGTGGAAAAGGATGCCAATAAAGAGTTTTCTACATATGCAGATGCTCTCTGGTGGGGCACAGTAAGTATACAAATATGTTTTTATTTATTGCATGTTGTGAAATTTTTTTTTAATACAATGTAATGGTTCCTATGGATGGTCTCAATAAAAATATCCACTTGCAAAAGAGTTATATGGAAAATACATACTGCTTATTATTGTCTAAAGGCTTTCCACATCTTTCTGGGCCAACTAAGTTGTCTTGTAAACCATCATTAATATTTCTTGAGTGCTAGATTGTTGCCAAAATTAAAAATACATAAAATATATAAATATATATCATTTTTTAAATGGTGATTAAAAACATTGATAGTTTATCTGTTTTAACTTTGTGGAGCACAAATTTAAATTATCAATTGTTGCATTGATTTTCCACTCTTTAAAAGTTTATCCGGGGTTAAAAAATGAATGAAAGCTGTGAATAAAATTACAGCACAAAGAAATGAAAAAGAAGACTGGTAACCATCTGTGAGATCAGAGATTATAGTCACCTAATTTCAAAACTTTCCTCTTAAAACCTACTTTTTCTTTAAATTGTTATTAAAGGATAATTTTCCAAATAAATAAAGTAAAATCATGATTCTCACAAAGATAGAAAATGAACACATGCTAAACATTCATTTAACTCATTTTTGAAATTTAAGTCATTATTAATGAAGAAACCAGTAAGATGTTAAAACCAGTTCAAAGCACTATCCAAAGAACAGAAACATTTAAAGATCAGGAATATGAAATCAATGTGCAAATAGAGGCAAAACTGGCTCCTTCCGCAGTGTGGGAGGGAAGTCAGTTCAACCTCCACTAGGCAGAATTTATTTACATGTCCATAGGCAAGAATTATTTCGCATTGCTACCAGTTATCAACAACTTACAGAGTTGTAAAATAGCTCAAAGACTATGAGAAGAGCAGAGCCCCGTAAAGTCAGAATCCAAAAACCTGGAAGGGTGTACTCTGAACAACGCATAGTTTTCCACTGAAGCAAAAATTTTCCCTGCATTGTAAAGAATTTATAAAACAGTCATTGGAACTTGTGCCCTAATAAGAATGTCATGGGATATAGGAGTGACATAAAAAGAAATGTATAAATTATACATTTATTTTTATTTTATTCCTTTAATGTATTCCAAAGGGGAGTTATATGAAAATAATTATAGCCAAGCATGGTGGCTCACGCCTGTAATCCAAGCACTTTGGGAGGCCAAGGCAGGCCAATTGCTTGAGCTCAGGCGTTTGAGACCAGCCTGGGCAACATGCCAAGACCCCATCTCTACATAAAATACAAAAATTAGCCAGGTGTGGTGGCACGCTCCTGTAGTCCCAGCTGCTTGGGAGGCTGAGGTGAAAGGATCATTTGAACCTGGGAGGTAGATTATAAATGCTTATCTAAAGAATGTCCATAACATTTTGGTCCAAAAAAACCCTTAAGTTCTCTTTTAAACCACCTTTAGTATTTCTTGAGTTCTGGATTGTTGCCAAAATAAAAATATATCGTTTTCTTAAGCTGTGATTTAAACAATGATAAGCTTTTTGTTTGTTTAGTGAAGCACAGATTTAAGTTACCAATTCTTGCATTGTTCCACTACTCATCAAAAGCTCATCAGCAAGACCCAGAACACTTGTCAGAGATGAGGAAAATTTGTTAGGGCTGTATTAAGCAGAACTTGTTGTATTTGTTGATTGCACAGCAGCAACAAAATGAATAAAAATCAGAAATACATTCACCTAAAGATTTGAATTTTTTTCTTAGGTTATCTGAGTAAATGTCTACAAGATTATGCCATTGGTTTCAAAGGATTCTGTTGGTTTAATAATGTGGTTTCCGGCTGCTCTTCGCTATTCACAAGCAATAATGGGCATTTTGAAAGAAGAGTGGAAACTTGAAAGAGAGCAGTCATCTGACATTCTTAAAATACTTTTTATATGTAGAGAGCAAATGAAAATCTGTGACTCATGATGGGATAAACTGTAAACTGAGAAAACAGGAGGCTTTTCTTGCCAGTAAGGGGAAGACAGTTTATCATCCCAGCCTTCAAAGCAATGGTTTGAATTCAAGTTTAATTTTGCTTCTCTTGGATAATTCTAATATATTTAACTTACTGAGGCACCCAGGTGCCCCTTTTCCCATTGAGATGCAGTTGTTGGTGAGTTTAGCCTGGCAACTTATTATCCTTCTTTTTATTAGTCTTCTTTTTCTCCTTATGACGAAAAAGAATTGCTGTATTGTGTGTTAAACAGTGTGTGGGAAACTCTTAATATACCTCTCAGTTAGTCACCAGTTTGTTTCTTTTGCCAGAATAACCCACACAGCAGGTTTTCAAAGGTCATTTCTGTGACTTTCGGGGGAAGAAACATTTTCATTGATTTCCCTTTCAGTTGTGCTAATTTGACTGACATTTAACCCGTACTTAACAGGTTTCTGAATGACCTAATTATGTTTCTATTTTTTAAAAAAATCTAGTCTTGAATATGAGAGTAAAAATCTTATAAGATGTCAAACTTCGAAGAATTTTTTTAAGGCCTTATTGGTCCATAGCAGGTTTGTTGATATTAACGGACTCATTAATGAAATTGTCTGAAACCTAAAAAGACAGAAAAAGCAAACAAGAGAGCTCATTGTTTCTATTCATTTTAAGAAGAACATATTCTAGATTCCTAGTGGGAAATAAAATAAATTTAGACTATTATACCTTTTATTTATACATTAATCAAGACCTTAGTTTTGATTAATTTGGTTTGAAAATTATGGTTGGGTATTTCTGAGTTAAAATTGCCCATGTTGCACTTAATGGAAACCTTAATAACTATGGAAGTATCCAGAATAAATAAGGAAATGACAGCATCCTAAGTGAGAGTATTTCTAAATGTTACACTGTGATGAAAAAAGGAAATCCCCTATATTAAAAGAACCCACAGTATCAACATTAAGTATCAAAATATAGGTTTTGTTCTACAGATATGCTGCGCCAGTGAATTTTCAATACTCACTATGGAACTGCTTCGGTTAAGATAGTGAGATCTGTCCCCTAGATCAACTTTTGGAGGGCTATCATGGTGGGATCAGTGCTGCTCCAAGCCAGTAACAATTCAAAGAACTGTGATCCCTGAAAGCAGTTTCATATTAGTGAAACTAGCTCATTGAGTAAGTGAAATAGATATAAAAGACCTGGTACCAAGAACATAGCAAGTGCCCAATCAAATATGATAGCTGCTGTTTGTATAGACATCGTTGCTGTGGAAGTTAAATGAAAGCACCTTTAATACAAAAGGAAGAAAAAAAGACCTATGTGTTTTGATGCAGACCCACAGTTTGAACATAGAAGAGGCTTGGGAATTGGAGGTTGTGATGAAAAGATATCCTGGGTTCTGATGTGGCAACTAAAGTTGCATTGATGGCAGAAAATGGAAAAGGGAAGTAGCTCCAGTAGCTGAGGCACTGGGAGCTACTGGAAAAGGGGATCTTCTGATTGCTGGTGGAGCTCCATTTATTTTCGTTTTCTATTGTTATTGTTCTCATTTTTGGTTGTTCCAGATTTCTTCTGAAATAATTTAAGAGTGGGTTTCCCTGGAGTTATTTTCTGTTATTAAATCCTTCCTGTTATTATGTTTCTCCTTTTGATCTGCTTTAGATTTATTCTGAAATAACTTCAGATCAGGTTTTCCTGAAGTAATTTTTCCTGATAATAACCTCTTCTTGAAGGCCAGTTTGTCCTCCTTCTATTTACTGCTGTTACTGTGATGAAGATAGTGTTGTGGGGTTCTATTTTTAAAAGATGCATACAGCAGCAGATAGTATAAATCTACTCTTGAGTAAGCATCTGAATACAGACTTCACCTAAGGCCCTGTGCTTGAAGTGAGTATTTCAGGGATGTAGAAGAATTTTATGTCAGCCAGAGTTAGTCTGAGAATTCATGCAGAAAAATCTTACAGTCTTTCTAGAAGCAAACCATATGGATGGTTCCATGTATATAGTATACTGTGCACTCAACATGTACATCCCAAATATATGCCTTGAGTTTCATCCTCCTGTAAAATCTAAGAGTAAGAAATTGTGTAAATTTTTGGAATAAACACGGATACTCTTGTCCTGATAGTACCAGGACCCTTCAGAGAATCAACTCTTCTTACACTGGGTTTACCATTACCAAACGTTTCTACAACATCATCTAAGCTGATGTTTCCTGAATTAATGCTGGCATGTTAAAGTTAAAATTACTTCTTGCTACCAATGCATTATCTGATGGTATCAAAACTTTACTTGGCCGTGAAAGGAACAACACACTAGCTCCTAACTATTCAAGATTATTATCAGTTACCAAGCAAAAATGGAGACACACATACCCCAGCCTCTACCCACCAAAACATTCAAACTATTATGAGCATCTACAAGTCCCATGCCAACCTATTGGCATGGATTTGTGAAGTAGATTATCATACGCCTCTTTGGGGGAACTCTTTCTTAATGAGAATCTAAAGTAGCATTGATGACAGAGTATTTCTTCAATGATGTTATCTCACACATGCCTCTGGGCACTTTTTATCAGTTATTATTATTCTATCGGCATTGAGCACATGCTGTTTTGTAAAGAATAGAAAAATTGGGGTCAAGAGACCTGGGTTCTGGCCCTAACATGATGATTTCATGGAGGTGTGTTATTAAGCAGTCATTAACATCTCTGTAAAATTGAGATATCCCCCAAACACAAAGTTGCTATCTGTATAAAATGAGACTAGGACATGTAGATGTGCTTTATCAAGCACTAGGTAAATGGTAGTCATTACTGTTGTTACACCACCGTCCGAAAAAACAAGATGGAATGCTAGTGCCGAGCTACCTGCCACAGCAGAACCCAAATTTTATGATGCCATCACCTCAGGAGATTCTGTTTGAAGATGTACCTACTAGTTCTGACATACTAGTTCAAGGCAACTAAATTTCAAAATTGACTGCACAATTTCTATGACCACCTACTATCTGATACTAGGTGAATCACCTTTCCTTAAAAGACTCCTTTATGGGCT